GGATAATTTAATTATTACTTTGAATTTCAAGTCATGCAACTTCAAATAACAATGAGAGAGGAAACAATTAGCATGACAAGGAACTTCTAATTAACATTGTCTACCTGAGGAGCTTTATCATTAGTTCCATTAATCCAGGGTAAAAACTGTATGACTGCTCAACCGATTCCTGAACCTTCAAAATTTAAGAGTTGATGCATTAGAAACACAACATATATTTTCTCCTTTTCCCCCTCTTGGAAGGGTGCGTGTGTCTGGAATGGGATTGGAAGCAGTAAAATAAGTTGAAATGTAATAAATAGTGTGGCAGTAGAAACAGAAATGATCACATAAAATAAACTCTGCTTCAATTTAGGGAAAAATGAACAAATTCATAAAAGAAAAATCTTAGCAACTGATGACCTGACAACGAGGGTGTAGGAAAAGTGAAATAAGGTAGCAAATAGTGGATTGAGGGGTGTTGGCAGGAAACTTCCACGGGTTTAGGCGGGACAGGTGGCGATTGAGGGTTGGGACAGCAAAGGAATTCAGTTAGGGAGAGAGAGAGAGCTGGAGGATAAAAATAGTGGAGAGAGCAGATTAGGGCAGGAAGAATATAGGGAAATTTGGGAGGAGCTAACCCTTGAAGTCCAGCATTGTTTTTCTTCATATTTGATTTTGTCCTTTTGGGTTGATGTGCTGGGTATATTTTGTTGTTTGCGCCATTGTGCTGTTGGGTAGTAATTGTTAGTTTCATACAGGTGTATTTGCTTGCGAAATATTAATACAGAAGTCTATTAGTTTCTGGTTATTTGGCTACTGTTTACTGCTTATTTTCTGGGTTTATTGTATTTTGCTTTCTGTTTCCTTGTTTTGGAGTGGGGTTCCATCAGCAACAAATGAAAAGCAATTTGTAATCAGCAGTACAGTACATACCGAGCTTTTGCTATTAATATAATTAGTGTGTTTGCTTTGATCCGAGGAGAAAGTAAGCTTTAAATTCCTGGACCAACTTCAACAAAGATTTTTCACTACTTTCAAATGTGTGACAGATGATTTTGTTGAACTGGCCCCTGCAAATATAAGTGGCACAATTAAATAAAAAACTTAGTTGATAACTAGGAAAAATTGGAAACCAAGTCTTTCATTTGGCAATTTTATTTCATAAGATATGGCCACTCCATCCACTGACCTGTTGTTTTGACAGTTTTATGGTATAATGCTGAAACCAAGCGGAGGTACAGAGACCGCAAACGCAAGCAAATATTAGGTGTCAGGCTTGGAGTTCTACCCAAATACGCCCTAACATGGTAGTTCCTTAGATCAATGTAAGAACCAGTAAAAGGAAGAAGTTGTGATTCGATTACTTTTCCCTCAGAATCAAAAACAGTAATATCTTCATTGTCAACCTACAGCATTTAGATCTTGTGAGTAGCTGACAGAAGAAAATGGAAAAAGCCTATTCATACCAGAAAGAAATTTCATATTTTGCAAAGGTACAAATATGATACTATTTGGAGCTTTTGACAACAAATTATGAAAAACCGTGGAAAGAATTATAGCAATCATCAACTGAGTATGATCTAATGCTGAATAATTTCCAAACTACAAAGAAGTAAGTGCTTTAGCTCTCATTATCATTCATACTCATGTCTTATTCAACACAAACAGCCCAACAGACGAAGTTGAATCTAAGAACCTAGCTTATTTCTCCACTTCAATGCAAGCAAAAGCAATTTCAGAAGTATTATTCCAGTCTAAAAGATCTTATTAATATCATTGAGCATTTATCATACTCATTATCATGACCTTAAAGAACAGTCACTTCCATTCCCTTAAGATTTATCAGTTTTAGTTTCTTAATGACTTTGTTGTTCCTTATTTTTCCTTTATTGCAAATAAACCTCAAATAATGAAGCACTATAAACGTTTTCCTTTTTCTAATCTATATGGCTAATTTCTGAACCACAAAAAGGATTGTTCATCTAGCACTTCCAAAATTATTCATGCAAACAAGCAAGAAAACGGTTAAATACTATGCTAAAGACCAATCATGAAAACTTAATGGCAACTTGTAAAATATACTGGTCGATGAGTTGGGATTCAAGGCATGAAGCAGTTTTTCCCAAAGTAGAATACTCACCGGAATTCGAATTACATCATCTCTCTTCCACCCAAGGGAATTGTAGACCACAACAATCTACAATAAGAAACAGCACATAATTATATATTAAAAGTAGAAGGCTAAATATGTATAGATTACACCAAGTACTACATTGTCCTTACCAGCTTTTCCCATGAGACAGATCAATTCTGATGCGGGACAGTAACTAATATTCAGAAGTGGACACTGTAAGAATAAAGATAAAGATATAAATTTAGCCAAAATTAGAAGAGAAAAAATAAATTGCATCCAATTATATATGATCTCATCAATATTAAATTGATAACCCATCTTATTATTGGCCACACGGTCAAGAGAAGCTACAGTAAAGCGGTTTGGGAAGTCGCAACTACTCCAAATCCCATTCTTTTCTTAAGCTAAACTGGACAAATTGAATCTTAAATAAACATGGACTCCCATCAGCTACATAGATGACCACATAAATACAACATATTTACTATGTGCTGTGGAGTACATGTGTTGCGGAAGAATAAACATAAGAAGAAAAAGAAGAAAGTTCACAGTGAAAAGTGACAGAGATAGTATCGATCCCTAAAACCTAGGATTTACCACAAATATGTAAAAATTTCTAAAAGATGAAACATTCAGAAGGGAATCCTGTTTTAAAGCATTTCAATTACAGTTGTTTATTGTCTCAATTTTTTTTAAAATCCAAACACAGCCTTGATAATGACCACTCAGATGCATCCAATTCAAAAAATGAAGTGAAAAGCTCAAAGACTAAGAGCTAAGATCTTTTGCCTGTTGAAATTTCAGAGTCGCCCTGTTACATCCATCATAAGACATCGCGTCGGCCAAGCAAGCAAGAGATGTTGCAACTACCCCTTCAGCCTGCCAAAAATATGGGTGGATGACAATGACAAGAGGGATGGAAAAATCACTAGAAAAACTTGAAATGATCAAAGTAAATCTACCTCCATGTGGCCTATTGATAGCCGTTTTGCATAACATCAGCCACATGTTGCTTCTCAGTACCAGTAACTGCATCATGATGCTGAGCAATTGCCAAAGCATCCGCTAATGAATCTGTGTTAGGCCCTGTATTACCTACCTTTAAAGAACTCTAGTTGCCTTCGCCTATTTATGCAGTAAAGTGTTTAGTATTTGACCTAAAAACTGTTAAGAAGATGAAACTAAAAACTTTAAACAAACTAAAACAAGTAGCATGAACAATACCAAATAGTAACCACTCATCTTCTAACATAGCGTTTTAAGGCTGGTCTACTTGAGAAATATCCTGTCCAGTAAGCATTTGCACGGTCTGCATAACTGATGTATTTCAAATCCTAAAAGCTGGTCAAGGTGATGAAACATGCAAACAGATAATATTGACATATCAAGATTAAACTCACGGAAAGAAGTCATCAATCTTCAATGGCCAGAACTCATTTGCAGCATATTTTGCATCAGTATATATGGATGGGGTAGAGTAGAGAGCATTGACACGTCCATCCTAAAAATATTCAAACCAAGCCATATCATTACCATAAGCAGCACCTAAACAAAAATACAAAATGCAAAAGGGAGACCACAACCAGTTCATACTTCTATTCAATAACTTCATGAAAAAACGACAGATAGGGCCGAAGTAATACTGAAATTTGAAAATGAATCTTCAGATTATTTTTAGTCGTCTAGATTAAAGAAAAATGTCAATCTAGTTGAACTGTCATTCATTTCAGACAATCATCACATGAAACTTTAAGCATCACGTAGAAATGAGTATAACAAATAAAGGAAGGACACCTACTAGTTGACGGACATTAACACTTAAAACCAAACTCCAAAACCTAATAATGTTTTTTCAAAAGAAATGAAAACATGAAATCCCAGGAGAAAGTAAACTTCTAAAACTACGTTTTTTTTTTTTTTTTTTTTTTTTTTTTTGTACTTACAAACAAAATAAAGAAAAGAAAACTACATGCTAAAATACACCAACACTTACAAAATGCAAGCTTATGATCTACCAGCCAAAATGGGTTTTCAAATACAGTGTACCATGTAAATTTTGAAGGTCAAATAGACAACAGAGCATTTCATTGAGGTAACTACTGCTATCCCTTTGTCAGATGACTTACCATGTTCACATAATGAATGAGCTTGTCCATCTGCCGGAACCATGTGTGTGCATACTGATACTTAAAATCTGTTCCCATGGTCCACATTATATGATTTGTCCGAGTTATGTTAGCCTGAAAAAGGAACAATCACTATACATTAAACTGAAGAGAGTCCTGAAAGGAAAACAAAACTTGCTTTCAGTGCAACAGTATCATTCAATTTATCAAATTCTTAATCCCTAGAAATTTTCCACTTTGCTGGGGTTAATGCACAATGTGCATGATAGTATCAAGCATGAAGAGCATCTATATCTCCCATATATAAAATTGAACTGATCACACTCCTGATTTGCCATGATACTGACCTAAGCAGAAAACTTAATAATATAAAGGAAGATAAGTTTTATGATCAGCATACTTTGATGAAAGACCTCTTATGAAGACTAAAGGCAGTCATGAATTCTGAAGTAGAAACACCTAGGAGACTTCAAAATAACAGTTGTAGAAAATCTATGCAAATGTTGTGACTCTTGGAGGATTCAATAAGCCAACAATATTAAAGTCACCACAGTACTAATGATTTTTTTTTTATTTTTTTGTTTGTTTTGGGCAGTTGAAAGTTACGATCTTAAAGACTTTACTTGCTGTTAATAAAAAGGATGAAGCAAGGATGACAAGACATTCACTGCAGCTAGTTTGAAGGAATCTAAATTTGGTTTGAAGGAAAACCGAAATTTGATAATTGACATGCACAAAAACCAAAGTCATGTCCTTACCATCAGTCCTCTGCAATCATCCAGTATACAGACTGTCTCATTTAAGTTCTCATCAACACCCCTAGAATCATCAAGTAGCAGTCTCCTATAGAAGGAAAAGAATGTTGTTAGCATTCTGATAATCTGTGGTGCAAAAAGAGAACAATGTCAAGAATTATACCAATTGAGTCCTTGGCATTTTAGTCATGCCACTAGAAAACACAACTCTTATGAGTTGACTGCAATGACAGTCTACTTCATCATCCCACTAATTACAAACATCAACTTTTCAATATTCATGATATAATAAATCAGCCCTTAACCCATACGGCATATTCAGTCTGCTTCATCCAATTAGTTTTTTAAAATAGGCGTATAAGAGTTGATCATTACTGATTGAACATTAAAAAGGTGACATAATACCTGTGAAGCATCAACTCTATTTGTCCATCTACTAAGCCAGATCCTCCAAGAGGCCGATCCACCAGAACTGAAAATTCTTTTCCAGAACCTTGGGCGTAGATTCCAAGATTAATCTGAGTGGACAATATAAAATGATATGAACTTAAAGAAGGGATATTATTATTCAGTAGAAAATTTGAATGGCTTTCTAATCATTGTAACATTGGCTTGAATCCTTATAGAAACATATGGACGAATTCAACGCAACAATAATTAAATTATAAAACCTCACTTGGAAAAGAAAAAAAAGAATAAACAAGTCAATAATCTCACTTCTCACTCTCATTTTATCTTGCTTTTGAAAGAAAAAAAGTTGGCTCTATCATCACATTGATTTAATTCACATACACAGATAAGAAGTGATGAGATGACCACAAACTGAGGACATTCCTATTAGAAATATATCAAAAATAAGCAACTATACGTCATATATTCACCATAAAGAACAGACATCCCACTAGTTATGCACAATGAAATTGAGAGGTCAAGCCAACCACTGTTACTATCAATTTGAAATTTTTTGGGGTAAATGCTTAACCCAAGACTTTCAGAAGAACATACAGGGTAATAATTTCCTGCAATTGGTTGGTTTACTTCCAGTTCCCAGTCTGATCTATAATCACGAATCTGCAAGAGAGATACATCCTTAGTTCGTTGCATCACTCAACGGATTAGAAAATAAACAAAAAGAAGTTCGGCTATACACAAGAAAACAATTAAAAAATAACTTGTTTCCATCCTTCAATTGAAGGATGTTAAAACATAGTTAACATATCATGAAGCCAGCTATATAGCAGACTAAAACTTTCTGCTAAACATTCAGTGCCCTGTACCATTATGCAACATACCCTTTTGATGAAGTCACGTCCATTAGAATCTGTGTAGAATGTTCTATTGGTTTCCAAGGTAGTTGTTATCTGAGTGACAACTTCTTTACCAAGTCCATCATCAATAGGTATAGGCCCAACCTGGTAAGTCAATTATTGGCAGTGCATAGAAACAGCAGTTAGAGCTCAGCATGCATGGATGTTCGAGAGAAAAAATGTAGCTTTTCAACCAACCAACCAAACCCTAAACTCAGCCGCTGCCCCATTCCCTCCCAGATTTTATCAATATAAAAGAAATAATTGAAAAAGAAAAGGTAGCATCTCCATCACTAAAATCAAATTTTTGACAAGAGAAATTAAGTTGTGGTAGCCATTGAGAAAGCTTACAATGAACTCAACTTCAACGTGCTCTTTACCCTTGTATAATCTTGTGATCTGCAAACACATTGAATACAACATTAAAGAAATTGAAAAACTTTGTATCCGTAGTAAATATGAAAGACTTTTTTACCAAGAAAAACAATCTATCATGCATAACAATGAGAAAATGATTCTATTTCAGATGCTTTGTGAATTGTCTGGGTCTCATTCACTCGTCCAAAATTTTTTAACAAGAAAATTATCTGATACTGAAAAGTGTAAAAAATAAAAAGGAGATGGACTTGAGAAAACCTATAAAAGCTTTACTATACATCTAATATAACTGGCTCAGTTGAGAAGTGGCTTAATTCAAAAATTCTCTTCTAAAGCATGTTTACATAATGCAATTAAAATGATTCTCGTGTTAAAACAGAATAAAAAAACTTTAAGAGAATATAACATAAAGACGACCACATGAAAAAAAGGGCACCTGATATATCCACTCATTGATCTTTTGATGTACTTCATCTATTATTGGCCCCCGCATTACAGTCAAAGAAACCTGAAACTTTGAAAAAAAAAATTCTACTTCACAACTGCTATGATTATCAATTCTCTAATGAAACTACCATCAGAAGACAGCAAATACCTGTCCTTCAGGCTTGATGAGAAATGTACCATTTGGGCGGAAAATATATGCCCCAGCATTCTAAAAAAGAAAAATCAACAAGCTGCATAAGAAATCAACTTGGAAAGGGATAATTTAATTATTACTTTGAATTTCAAGTCATGCAACTTCAAATAACAATGAAAGAGGAAACAATTAGCATGACAAGGGAACTTCTAATTAACATATGTCTACCTGAGGAGCTTTATCATTAGTTCCATTAAATCCAGGGTAAAAACTGTATGACTGCTCAACCGATTCCTGAACCTTCAAAATTTAAGAGTTGATGCATTAGAAACACAACTCATATATATTTCTCCTTTTCCCCCTCTTGGGAAGGGTGCGTGTGTCTGGAATGGGATTGGAAAGCAGTAAAATAAGTTGAAATGTAATAAACATAGTGTGGCAGTAGAAACAGAAATGATATCACAATAAACTCTGCTTCAATTTAGGGAGAAAAATGAACAAATTCATAAAAGAAAAATCTTAGCAACGGATGCGACCTGGACAACGAGGGTGTAGGAAAAGTGAAATAAGGTAGCAAATAGTGGATTGAGGGGATGTTGGCAGGAAACTTCCACGGGTTTAGGCTAGGACAGGTGGCGATTGAGGGTTGGGACAGCAAAGGAATTCAGTTAGGGAGAGAGAGAGAGCTGGAGGATAAAAATAGTGGGAGAGAGCAGATTAGGGCAGGAAAGAATATAGGGAAATTTGGGAGGAGCTAACCCTTGAAGTCCAGCATTGTTTTTTCCTTTCATATTTTGATTTTGTCCTTTTGGGTTGATGTGCTGGGTATATTTTGTTGTTTGCTGCCATTGTGCTGTTGGGTAGTAATTGTTAGTTTCATTACAGGTGTATTTGCTTGCTGAAATATTAATACAGAAGTCTATTAGTTTCTGGGTTATTTGGCTACTGTTTACTGCTTATTTTCTGGGTTTATTGTATTTTGCTTTCTGTTTCCATTGTTTGGGAGTGGGTTCGCATCAGCAACAAATGAAAAGCAATTTGTAATCAGCAGTACAGTACATACCGAGCTTTTGCTATTAATATAATTAGTGTGTTTGCTTTGATCCGAGGAGAAAGTAAGCTTTAAATTCCCTGGACCAACTTCAACAGAAGATTTTTCACTACTTTCAAATGTGTGTACAGATGATTTTGTTGAACTGGCCCCTGCAAATATAAGTGGCACAATTGAAATAAAAAACTTATGTTGATAGCTAGGAAAAATTGGAAACCAAGTCTTTCATTTGGCAATTTTAATTTCATAAGATATGGCAACTCCATCCACTGACCTGTTGTTTTGACAGTTTTTATGGTATAAGTGCTGAAACCAAGCGGAGGTACAGAGACCGCAAACGCAAGCAAATATTTAGGTGTCAGGCTTGGAGTTCTACCCAAATACGCCCTAACATGGTAGTTCCTTAGATCAATGTAAGAACCAGTAAAAGGAAGAAGTTGTGATTCGATTACTTTTCCCTCAGAATCAAAAACAGTAATATCTTCATTGTCAACCTACAGCAAGTTAGATCTTGTGAGTAGCTGACAGAAGAAAAATGGAAAAAAGCCTATTCATAACAGAAAGAAATTTCATATTTTGCAAAAGTACAACTATGATACTATTTGGAGCTTTTGACAACAAATTATGAAAAACCTGCGGAAAGAATTATAGCAATCATCAACTGAGTATGATCTAAATGCTGAATAATTTCCAAACTACAAAGAAGTAAGTGCTTTAGCTCTTCAATTGAAAAAATAACCTACAAAATTAATTGTTAAGAGCTCTATCTCATTCATTACTCATGTCTTATTCAACAACACAGCCCAACAGACGAAGTTGAATCTAAGAACCTAGCTTATTTCTCCACTTCAATGCAAGCAAAAGCAATTTCAGAAGTATTATTCCAGTCTAAAAGATCTTATTAATATCATTGAGCATTTATCATACTCATTATCATGTACCTTAAAGAACAGTTCCCCCTTAGCACTTCCATTCCGCTTAAGATTTTTCAAGTTTTAGTTTCTTAAATGACTTTGTTGTTCCTTATTTTTCCTCTTATTGCAAATAAACCTTAAATAATGAAGCACTATAAACGTTTTCCTTTTTCTAATCTATATGGCTAATTTCTGAACCACAAAAAGGATTTGTTCATCTAGCACTTCAAAATTATTCATGCAAACAAGCAAGAAAACGGTTAAATACTATGCTAAAGACCAATACATAGAAAACTTAATGGCAACTTGTAACAATATACTGGTCGATGAGTTGGGATTCAAGGCATGAAGCAGTTTTTCCCAAAGTAGAATACTCACCGGAATTCGAATTACATCATCTCTCTTCCACCCAAGGGAATTGTAGACCACAACAATCTATAATAAGAAGACAGCACATAATTATATATTTAAAAGTAGAAGGCTAAATATGTATAGATTACACCAAGTACTACATTGTCCTTACCAAGCTTTTCCCATGAGACAGATCAATTTCTGATGCGGGACAGTAACTAATATTCAGAAGTGGACACTGTAAGAATAAAAAGATAAAGATATAAATTTAGCCAAAATTAGAAGAGAAAAAATAAATTGCATCCAATTATATACATGATCTCATCAATATTAAATTGATAACACCCTATCTTATTATTGGCCACATGGTCAAGAGAAGCTACAGTAAAGCAGGTTTGGGAAGTCGCAACTACTCCAAATCCCATTCTTCTTCTTAAGACTAAACTGGACAAATTGAATCTTAAATAAACATGGACTCCCATCAGCTACATAGATGACCACATAAATACAACATATTTACTATGTGCGTGTGGAGTACATGTAAGTTGCGGAAGAATAAACATAAGAAGAAAAAGAAGAAAGTTCACAGTGAAAAGTGACAGAGATAGTATCGATCCCTAAAACCTAGGATTTACCAGCAAAATATGTAAAAATTTCTAAAAAGATGAAACATTCAGAAGGGAATCCTGTTTTAAAGCATTTCAATTACAGTTGTTTATTGTCTCAACTTATTTTTCTAAAATCCAAACACAGCCTTGATTAATGACCACTCAGATGCATCCAATTCAAAAAATGAAGTGAAAAGCTCACAAGACTAAGAGCTAAGATCTTTTGCCTGTTGAAATTTCAGAGTCGCCCTGTTACATCCATCATAAGACATCGCGTCGGCCAAGCAAGCAAGAGATGTTGCAACTACCCCTTCAGCCTGCCAAAAATAATGGGTGGATGACATTGACAAGAGGGATGGAAAAATCACTAGAAAACTTGAAATGATCAAAGTAAATCTACCTCCATGTGGCCTATTGATAGCCGTTTTGCATAATCATCAGCCACATGTTGCTTCTCAGTACCAGTAACTGCATCATGATGCTGAGCAATTGCCAAAGCATCCGCTAATGAATCTGTGTTAGGCCCTGTATTACTCCTACCTTTAAAGAACTCTAGTTGCCTTGCCGCCTATTTATGCAGTACAAGTGTTTAGTATTTGACCTAAAAACTGTTATAAGAAGATGAAACTAAAAACTTTAAACAAACTAAAACAAGTAGCATGAACAATACCAAATAGTAACCACTCATCATTCTAACATAGCGTTTTAAGGCTGGTCTACTTGAGAAATATCCTGTCCAGTAAGCATTTGCACGGTCTGCATAACTGATGTATTTCAAATCCTAAAAGCTGGTCAAGGTGATGAAACATGCAAACAGATAATATTGACATATCAAGATTAAACTCACGGAAAGAAGTCATCAATCTTCAATGGCCAGAACTCATTTGCAGCATATTTTGCATCAGTATATATGGATGGGGTAGAGTAGAGAGCATTGACACGTCCATCCTAAAAATATTCAAACCAAGCCATATCATTACCATAAGCAGCACCTAAACAAAAATACAAAATGCAAAAGGGAGACCACAAGCCAGTTCATACTTCTATTCAATAACTTCATGAAAAAACAGACAGATAGGACCGAAGTAATACTGAAATTTGAAAATGAATCTTCAGACTTATTTTTTAGTCCGTCTAGATTAAAGAAAAATGTCAATCTAGTTGAACTGTCATTCATTTCAGAAAATCATCACATGAAACTTTTAAGCATCACGTAGAAATGAGTATAACAAAGTAAAGTAAGGACACCTACTAGTTTGACAGACATTAAACACTTAAAACCAAATGCCAAAACCTAAATAATGTTTTTTCCAAAAGAAATGAAAACATGAAATCCCAGGAGAAAGTAAAACTTCTAAAACTACCTGTTTTTTTTTTTTTTTTTTTTTTTGTTTTGTATCTTATCAAACAAATAAAAGAAAAGAAAACTACATGCTAAAATACACCAACACTTACAAATGCAAGTATGATCTACCAGCCAAAATTGGGTTTTCAAATACAGCTGTACCATGTAAATTTTGAAGGTCAAATAGACAACAGAGCATTTCATTGAGGTAACTACTGCTATCCCTTTGTCAGATGACTTACCATGTTCACATAATGAATGAGCTTGTCCATCTGCGGAACCATGTGTGTGCATACTGATACTTAAAATCTGTTCCCATGGTCCACATTATATGATTTGTCCGAGTTATGTTAGCCTGAAAAAGGAACAATCACTATTACATTAACTGAAGAGAGTCCAAGTGAAAGGAAAACAAAACTTGCTTTCAGTGCTAACCAGTACATTCAATTTATCAAATTCTTAATCCCTAGAAATTTTCCACTTTGCTGGGGGTTAATGCACAATGTGCATGATAGTATCAAAGCATGAAGAGCATCTATATCTCCTATATAAAATTGAACTGATGCACACTCCTGATTTGCCATGATACTGACCCTAAGCAGAAACTTAATAATATAAAGGAAAGATAAGTTTATGATCAGCATACTTTGATGAAAGACCTCTTTATGAAGACATTACACTCGTAACATCAAGCCTGAAAGGCGCTAAGCTAAATTTTAAACCCAAAAAGAAAAGCCAGCAGGAAAAAAAAGGAAAAAAGGAAACTGCACTGCTTAACCAGACTGGAAAAATCCTAACATGAAGATACCCATCCCTGTTTACCTGTGATACTGCAGCAGCAACAAAGTCATTAACTCGGTCTTGAACATTGTAATCAAACCAATTGATACATCCTTGAATGAACAAGAGTCAAGATTAGCACAGACAAACGAGTACTCAAGAGACTGATGACAAATAATCAATTCTACCATATGTGTACCTGAACGATAGGGGAGTCATCATTGACTTCAAAGTAGAAACCACCAGGTGGAGGCTCATAGTTCTTAGGGAATGCACCAGCAAAAATCTGCAATATTAAGAAAAAATGTTGAAGCCAAAAGAATTTAACCAGAATCAATGAGTCAAGGGCAAAGAAAGAAAACATAAAACACAAAATGAAAAGAATGACTAAAATTGTTCAATAAAGCAAGAATATGCATTTAAGCCCACTGCCTAAGTTATGAATCAAAACGAACCACATTCACCTGTGCAGATGAACGAAAATTTCTGGAACCCTGCCAGATAACTTCAAGACTTTTTCATTTTTTCGCTTTGTCCTGTCTTGGTAATCAATTCGACCAAAGAAAAGAGAGTCAAATCAACCTACACCAGATCAATTATCTCTTACATTCTATACCATTGTTTCTTGAAAAAGAGAAAAAGCATTTTGATCAATAGATCTCTTTAAAGTAAAGATATAAGGTTTACATCGGCTCCAACCAATAAGCCTGCACTGCAGAGTGTCCAAACGGATCAATTTGCCAACCAATTTTGGGTTACACCAAACTCTTTTAATAAAGCGGTGCCCAAGAGTTGTCTGATCAATAATGTCAATGTAATGTGCACCGCCTCATCATGCATGCACATGCCTCCATTTCTGTAACAAGCGCACAAACAGAGTGAAAGTCTGAAGAGAAATAATACCTACTGTTCCAAATAGAGAATAAAAAGAAAAGATAAAAGTTTTAAATATCTAATCCTGTAAGCCCTGACAAACATGAAGATGATCTTTAATCACACACTTTAAGGGGATCTAAGGATATACTGACCTAAATTGTGAAAAGGCTAGTGGTTTAACAGTGTCTTACATGAACTCTAGTTGACCTGAGCTGACAAGCTGCTGACTACCTGGCATGGCCTCACTCTGTTCTCCACCATCGCAGGAAAAATGCCTGCATTATCAAACAAAGCCCTACATATGATAAACCCAAAATAGTAGAAAGAAAAATCTATATATTAAAATATGTAGACATACAATGACTAGTTGGAAACTAATGTCACTAAAACACCAGATGACAGTCATAGCATTAGAGACAGGAATTTTCGAGAGTTGCTGCACCAGAGTATCTCAGACTGACATTGCAAGGAGCTTTCTCTTACACTTTTTTGGAGAAGTCAAACTCTTTACTGTAACATGATCCTCACAATGTCATGACACTGTAATATTTGACTGCGAAACATGACACCATAAACTTAATATGACAAAGGCCCAATGGGAGTTGGTGCAATTTGGTATATTGAATGGGGAAACAGTCTTTTCTACTACTCTATGTTAACCACATATCCCCAATGCTAGTTGCAAGTCAACCACCCTCTCAATCTTCATATTATATATCGGCAAAACCTAATGCTATTTTGTCACTATGATAAAAAAGGGAAACAATGAAACTCTAAATTCTACATACCAAATATACACTCATTCAATCATAAGCTCCACAAATCAAGCCGGAAAAACAATAAGAAATGTTCTTAGTATGCCATTTTCGAAAAACAAGGCTAAAGATTGAAACCCTTTAGCTCTCTTTTCATCCACTTTCTCAGCGACCAAACAAATTACTATAAACAAAATCAGAAATATGGGAATTTTACCTACCGTTCATAAATAAATTTCCGATTCTGTCAGCCAGTAATGCAGGAATCAGAGAATCCAATATATTTTGCACACAAGCCCCTACACATTCAAAAAAACAAATGTAACACTTGGCCAATAAAATTCATCCACAGATACAAGTAAAAAAAAAAAAAAGGTCAATTTCTAAAAGTTGAAAGAACCTGAATGATTGTTGGAGCCAACATAGTACTGATCAACGGTCTTAACCAACCCATCAGTGTGTATGAGCAACCAAATGAACATTGAGTTTCCCAGGAACAATGCCTTGTGAAGTATTATAAACCTTTATATCGGACTCCACACACGAACTTACAAGAAAAAGTACAACATAGAACAAAAATAACAACGCTTGACGGTTCATTGCAAAACGAAAGAGGACTCAAATATCCAGAAACAGCACTTCAGTGGTGGTGTTCCAGTTTGATAAAAGATTAAAGATGATCAGTGAAGAAAATGGTGAGAAGAGTTTTGTCCACTGTGTGTTTTGACTTGGGTATACATACCTATATCCTAAACTTTCCCTTTCTGAGTGAACAGGATAAGATTATTGAGTGCAATTGTGCAAACAATTAACAAAAAATATTTATATGACTGGCTCAACCTATCTTTTGTTATAAATTAATTTATAAGGGTTTTTTTGGTTATTATTTATTTTATTTAAAAATCTAAAAATTTATTGTTTTAAATTCTAAATCTAAACTTACTTTTTTTTTTAAATACTATCTAACGAAACAGACCTAAATTTGGGGATCTTTTGTAATTTATGTCCTAATATTTTTAATCATAATTTAGAATTTAACATAAAAATGGAAATATAAATTTAATCCATACGCAACAGAACTAGAAACTATGATTTATCCCCACCATCATCACCTAACTTCAGAAAGGCCATTCGGCCTGCTTCCTGCGATCAAAGAAACTCAATCGGAGCGGTAGCAACTGAAACACTTGTTAGGGTATTCTGCTTGTGGTTGTCAAACTCAAAGGAGAAAAAAATGTGGAAATTAGAACTGAGTCTGTATTTACAAAAACTGATATAAAATTTACTATACATTGTTAAAATAATTTAGTAAAAGTGTAATAATATAATATATAATTTTGTTAGGATTTTGGTAGGTGAGGAGTTTATGGGATACCAAATGTAGAAGGCACTGTAGTGAATCTCTTGGTCAACTAAATATTAGTTGACGCTTGATTAGACGCCAACGACTCGCACGTGAGAAGCGCTAAGTGGACTTAGGAATCACACATGATGGATCCATGAGATTTGAATATGGAGCTGAGATTTATATTTGCAGAAAATATAAATGAAAGATTGGCAAAAGGGGGTTTTATAGTGATTCGGATGCAACAAGCGACTGCTACATCCACTGTTTTTATTGATCTCTGACTATTTATATGATTTTGCCGTAAGGCATACAAAGATGAAGAAAACATGTTACAGAGAAGAAAATGAAGCTTCAATCTCAGCCCAGCCTTCTCCTCCTCTTCGGGAAGAGGAGTCCCTATTTATACACTTCTGACTCAATGTAATGAATGTTTTGCAAGTTCCTTGACACATGGAAGGATCTCATCCATTCATCTCTTTGAAATGAGATAAAGTTGGTGAGAATATTTTTGAGATATGGCTTGGCAGCTGGTACAAAGAGACATTAATTGTGCTGACATAGGCTTGACTTTGAGGCATACAGAAGCCCCTCAGTTTTTTAAGTGCGTAATGCGCTTCAGAAACTAAAGTCTTTGATCTGAATGGCTGCAGTGCTCGAAATGAAGAGCTCGAATTAAAATCTGAAATCTGATAGGAGCTTGACCTGAAATCTGTTAGGAAAACGACATGAAATCTGGTAGGAGCTCAACCTGAAACCTGGTAGGAGCTCGACCTGAAATCTGTTAGGAAAACGATCTGAAATCTGTTAGAAGCAAGCAAAACGACATCAGTCTAAGCAAAACGAGCTCAATCGGGCTCGACCTAAGCACGACTGGGGTCGACCTGAGCACGACCTGGGCTCGACCTGAGCACGTAACGAGCAAAACCTAGATTCGACCTGAGCACGTAACTAGCAGACTTGGTATCGACCTAAGCACGTAACGAGTACGACGTGGGGACATAACGAGCACAATTGGGCTCGACTTGAACACATAACGAGCACGACCTGGGCACATAACGAGCACGACTTGGGCTCGACTTGAGCACATAACCAGCACGACTGAGCACGTAACGAGCACAACCTGGGCTCAACCTGAGCACATAACGAGCACGACCTGAACACATAAACAGCAACCTGGGCACGACCTGCGCAATAACAAGCACGACCTGGGCACGTAACTAGCACTACCTGGGCACGACCGAGTACATAACGAGCAAGACCTAAGCCGCCTGAACGAGCACGACCGGGGCACGTAACGAGTACGACCTGGGTCGACTTGGGCACGTAACTAGCACGACCTGGGCTCGACCTGAACACATAACGAGCACGATCTGGGCTCGACCTAGGACGACCTGAGCACATAATAAGCACAACCTAGGCTCGACTTGGGCACGTAACTAGCACGACCTGGGCTCGACCTGAGCACATAACGAGCACGACTAGGCTTAACCTGTGTGACCTGAACACATAACGAGCTTACCTAAGAGCACAGAAATCAGCGATCTCAGCGGGTGATCAGCGATCTGAACACGTGATTTGAAGCTAAAGATCAGCGATCAGAAGCCGAGGATCAGGACGGCATAGGCGTGCGATCTGCGATCTGGCCATGCGATCGGAGAACTCTGATACGTGCGATCTGCGATCTGGCCACGCGATCGGAGAACTCTAATGCGTGCGATCTGCGATCTGGCCACGCGGTGGAGAATTCTGATGCACGCAATCGAAGAATTCTAACGCGTGCGATCTACGATCTGGCCGCGATCGAAAAACTCTGACGCGTGCGATCTGGCCACGCGATTGGAGAATTCTAACGTGTGCGATCGGCGATTTGGCCACGATTGGAGAATTCTGACGCAGGTTTGAGATCTGAGCACGCATCAAGGAACTTGGATGCAGGTTTGAGAATCGGACCTGCATGGGCCACCAAACTGTTGACGTGATTTTGGACGCAACGACTCGCACGTGAGAAGCGCTAAGTGGACTTAGGAATCACACGTGATGGATCCATGATATTTGAATATGGAGCTGAGATTATATATTTTGCAGAAAATATAATGAAAGATTGGCAAAAGGGGGTTTTATAG